GGCTATGGGGGGGGCCGCCCCTGGGGTGCAAGTGTCCCCGCCCCCTGGCGCCCGGTGGGCGAACGGCCCCGCCCCCTGGCGCCCGGCAACCTTGAAAGGTTGGGGACCACTGTTTTATACTATCTGACTCCCAGTGCCCAGAGATTTGCAACTCAGGCTACGTCTACACTGCAATGCTATTTTGGGATACGGGAAGCCTGTTATTTCGGATTTGCTATTCTGATATCCCTGTAAATCTAATTCCACAAGGAGTAAGGGACATTTCACAATAACGGGTTATTTCTAAATAATATGGGGAAATAAGCTATTTTGAAATAAGATGGAAATAAATGCAATTTGAGCCAATCTTATTTTGCCCTACTGTGCAGTGTAGACAACCCAACTGCAGGTACGGTTACCAGATTTAAAAAAAAATGCACTTGCTTTGTGTGTTAATTTTTAAGAATAATACTTGAGAAAGTTTCAGTATTAGTACATTTTCCCCAAGCTCAAATCTAATACTATAAAAGTTTTAAAGAAATAAATGGTGATTAGTTTCTGTGGGTATAAATTATGGACTCTCTCAGCTCCCCACTCTCTTCCTCTATAATATAAGGTGGTAAAATTACTTGACATAAATCAAACCAGTTGTGGAAGAGAAAGGGGGTTGCGGGGAGCAGGGCTGGCAATGGGAGAGCGGGGGAAGGAACTGGCTGCTGGGAAGTAGGGCTGGCTGGGAGGGAGTCAGGGGGAGTGGGGCTGGCCTGGGAGCATGCAGATCCTGGGGTGCTGCCTATCCCATGTAGTGTCCTGGCAGGGTGCACAGGTGAGTCTGGCCCTGGACATGCCATCCTGCCCCAGCCCAGCCCCGCCCTCCTCCTCTCTACTGTGTGAGTGTCTCTCCAGCCAGGCAGCATGCTACTCATGATGATGATAAAATTTAAGTAGAAAATACCGAACATTTATATGTCTGGTGTTTTCTCCATTTTTTTCTGGGACAGAAAGCTCAAATACCCGACTGTCCAGTTCAAAACCGGACACCTGGCAAGTTGCAACTCTAGGTCTGCAGGGGAATGAGCGAGTTTTACTTCCCCAGGTTAACAGCCTCTAAGCGGCACTTGCGGGCCGGGGAGCGGCTGCATTGCTGGGGGAGGGGTGGGGGGGC